CTTTCTCCTTACTTGCACTTCCTCGTTCCCCTTACCCATCACTTTCTTGTTCCTTAAATTAGAGTCAGCCTCTGCTTACTATATGATTCTAGTAAAGTTAAAGGGATCCCTGACCATTAGGTCCAGTCATGGCCAACTCTGGGGTTGTGGCGCTCATCTCGCTTTACTGGCCGAGGGAGCCAGCGTACAGCTTCCGGGTCATGTGGCCAGCATGACTAAGCTGCTTCTGGCGAATCATAGCAGCACATGGAAATGCCGTTTACCTTCCCACCAGAGCAGTACCTATTTATCTACTTGCACTTTGACGTGCTTTCAAATTGCTAGGTTGGCATGAGCAGGGACCGAGCAACGGGAGCTCACCCCGTCGCGGGGCTTCGAACCGCCGACCTTCTGATCAGCAAGTCCTTGGCTCTGTGGTTTAACCTACAGCGCTACCCGCATCCATGATTGTAGTAGATCCAGGTTTAAGCACACTAACTAGAAGCCACCGTCACATCTGGTTTGGCCCTTCCTTATCCTGCTAGTAAATCTACCCCCATCATGGATTACTGTCATGTTTTGTTGTTGTTGCTAACTTTGGACGGTCTATTCTGTTTCAGGGGCATTATTTTACAAAGCGTTCAGTTTTTGTGGAAAACAATTTGCAGGCACATGTTCAGTCCGTGTTGACCAGCCTTGCAATGTAATGGAGCAGGACAAAAGCAATGTACAAATCAGTGGAGCCTGTGGCTCACAAGACAAGCCAGCCTTTATAGTACCAGGCAGAATGGATTATGTGGTATTAAAATAGATGCATATTATGCAAGCGGAATAAGCATGGCATAAAGGTAGTTTGAAGTATTGCTCCCTTCTTCACGGCAAAGATGCTTCTGATTGGGTAAGGTTGCCATCTGCTGGATGTATCTTGCTGTTTTGGGTTGAATAGCTTCACAAATGCCTTGGTTTCCTAATAAAAAAAGCTCAACAACTTTCTGGGTGTCCTGATTTTTACGTTTTGAAATATGGCAACCCAAGTAGAGACAAACAACTAAGATGATCTGTTTATTCAGCATTCCTCCTGAGGATGGTGAAAGGCTGCTTTTATTCAAATTTTTTTGTTTGTTTGGCTCCATTTACCGCAGCATTTCTCATATAAGCCTTCAATTGTTTTCAGTTGGCATCACTTTGCTATCTCTTCTTCTAATCAGTTGGCGAACAGGGCTTTTCTTAAGGTCCTTCTGGTGCAATGCAAGTCATAAAATATTTTCCAAATGCTTTGTGGGAAAATTCACAATACACAAACAAATCATACAAACCTTTGTGATCTTTGATGCAGTACTGAAGACTCTGAGCGGTGAAGTCCCAAGTGCAAATCTCACCTGGGCCATGAACCACTAAAAGCAGATCCAAAACAATACTTGTAAAACAGACCCCAAAGAGGCTAAATGCTATCGATTTCCTTAATAGTGCAAAAGGCCATTCTGAGATCCCTTCCAGATGACCTGTTTTTATTGAACATTCATCCTTATTTGGTTTTGGTGAGATTATATGATGTTGTATCAATGATGTTACTTCACACTCTCCATCACATTTTCCTGTCATTTTCCTTTTTGCAAAAAAGTCAGGTTTTGGGGGGAAGTGGGTTTGATGTCCAAGAATATAAAACAAACTGTAATTGTACGCTTTGAATTTGCTGTTAGGAAAGTGAATCCCACTTGAAATTGTAACAGTCTGGGGGTGCCCTGAATGTATCTAAGTAAATAACAGCAAAAATGCCTTGCATGTCTATTCAGAAATAAGCCCCTTTGAGAGATCAGTGGGATTTATTCCTTGGAAAGAGTGTTTAGGATTGCAACCTAAAAAACAGATAATCTTTTAATCCAATTTCTATTACTTTGAGGGTTTTTTGTTTTTGTTTTTTGGGTGGGAGGTAATGATTCATGGCAACTTTCCAGTTTGTTCAAGGATATCCAAGGTAGAGGCTCAGAACGCCCAAGAGGAAATGAGCTTAATTTTCAGTCTGTAAAGTATAGTTTCTTCCATGGGATAATCACAGGGTCTGTTGTGGGAGTGCTGCATTTTTGGGCAAAGATTATTACTGTGATTTGCTTCTGCTCCAGGGAAGTAATGAATGCAGGAAGGGAGAAAACAATTTCACTCCAGTTTTCTGAAGACCTTTCTCGTCTGGATCCTCCCTGGTTGTTTATACAAGCCTTTCCATACATTCAGGAGAGCATGCATGGTTATAGAGGAGGAGTGGGTACATGCAGGTCAAGGTAAAAAGGTAAAGGACCCCTGGATGCTTAAGTCCAGTCAAAGGTGACTATGGGGTTGTGGTGCGCATCTCGCTTTCAGACTGAGGGAGCCGGCCTTTGTCCACAGACAGCTTTCCGGGTCATGTGGCCAGCATGACTAAACCTCTTCTGGTGCAACGGAACACTGTGACTAAAACCAGAGCGCACGGAACACCATTTACCTTCCCACCGGAGTGGTACCTATTTATCTACTCACACTGGCGTGATTTCGAACTGCTAGGTTGGCAGGAGCTGGGACAGAGCAATGGGAGCTCACCCCGCCATGGGGATTCAAACTGCCAACCTTCTGATCGGCAAGCCCAAGAGGTTCAGGGCTTTAGACCACAGTGCCACCCGCGTACATGTACACCAGCCCTAAGGATAGGCAAACATGGTCAATTTTAGTTGGGGGTGGGGATGGGGGCAGGCCCTGGCATTCACATGAGACATTTAGTGCAAGTGCCTGACTATTTCTGACATTTCATGCTTTCACTGAACTCAGCACCAAAACTGCAGTATACCTTGCATCCTGCTCTGTGTTGTCTTTTAAAGGTCTCACCTGAAAATTGTGAGGCATGTGTTAGTGTCCATGGGGAACTGGCGACATATAAATTAACTGTGGTAATATAGGCAAACCTGTCAATTTCAGTTTCTCCTTTTCCCCATACTCCACATTTCCACATACTTTTTGGTTTTTTTAAAGTCCCCATGAAAATTTACCATCGCTTTAGTGTGATTTTCTCCACTTTGATGAATGAATGAATGAATGAATTAAATAAAAGAGATAAAAAAATGTGTGGGCCTCTGAAGAGATGCCTTTCCAAAAACGTGAAGCAAACAAGGGAATAAAAAAAATGGTCTACTGTTGCTCTCTAGTGGACTAGAAGTTACCTGCAATGTGCTAAACCTGCAATCACAATAGAAGTTGCTGCTGGGAAAGATAAATAAGGAACTCATTCATTGGGACGTTGGCAGTTGTTCCTTGTTTTCTTTTTTGTGTGGGTGCTGCCAGGTAATCCATAGTACTCCTTTTGCCTATTGTTGCAATTATAGAATTTTAGGACAGACTGTTTTTGTCACTGAATTATGTAAACATCAGGGGTCTTGTGGCAAATACTGAGGCTCTCCCTCCACATCTTTGGGGAGAAATCCTGTTGTGTATGTGGGGAGAGGACTGAGCCAGACTCTACAGGTCCCACATCATCCCCATTCCACATCTGCAAGAAACTGATATTTTCGTGCGTTGGCATCTACACTGTGGAACTCCTTGCCGATTGATACCAGACAGGTGCCTTCATTGAACTCCTTTTGGCACCTGCAAAAAATGCTTTTTGTTTAGACATGCTTACCTAGATATCTAGAATCCCGAAGTGTTTTTAGTTTATTGCTGGTTTTAATTTGAGAGTCCCATGGACTGCAAGAAGATCAAACCTCTCCATTCTTAAGGAAATCAGCCCTGAGTGCTCACTGGAAGGACAGATCATGAAGCTCCAGTACTTTGGCCACCTCATGAGAAGAGAAGACTCCCTGGAAAAGACCCTGATGTTGGGAAAGATGGAGGGCACAAAGAGAAGGGGACGACAGAGGACGAGATGGTTGGATAGTGTTCTCGAAGCTACCAGCATGAGTTTGACCAAACTGCGGGAGGCTGTGGAAGACAGAAGTGCCTGGCATGCTCTGGTCCATGGGGTCACAAAGAGTCGGACATGGCTAAATGACTAAACAACAACAACAAAATTTTCTGAATGTTTTGTTTTTGCTAACATTTTTATTTATCTTTTTTTTTTGCAAACCACCTTCATTTATTTATTTTATTTTATTTTATTTTACAATCAAGCAGTATATAAATTCTATGAAGGAAGGAAGGAAGGAAGGAAATAATAAAACAAAATGGGGATCACTTGCTCTTCTCATAATTAGGCCATGACTTCTGGACTATATTTTCAGCCTCCTCTCCATTTCTTTTCCTTTTTTGCAATACTTTTGGCTGAAACCATTTTCAACTAGTGTGCGTGCCCAGAAAAAAAACTAGCCAAGGGGACCTCTGATACAGAGTGCAACTGTACGGGATGGGGGAATGATTTATTATTATTATTATTATTTTGAACTTCTATTGTGCTGGTTTTCTTCCAAAACCTGTCCACCCAGATGTCATTTGCCTCCGAATAGCAGCATTGAGGAGAAGTAGCAGCCTTGGTAGTGGCTTTGGTAGCGGGGAATTTGAGCAGTGAAATGGCATGGGAGCAGAAAGGGTTAAAACCCCTCCCTCCTTTTTACCATGCTAGGACACTTCTTTGGATTGGGTCCCCTGTATCTGTCCTCCTCTCCCCAAACAAAGGGCTGCAACCAGTTCTAAGCACAGTTAGTTAAAAATAATTCTTGATGTAACGCTTTAGTTTGGGCCTTTAATACATCTGGAAATGTTGTATCTAATCCTTAAAAAGTTAATTTCTTTCAAGAAAGAAACAAAAAAGAGGGCAGTTCTGCGGAAACAGTCGCTCCTTATTCCTCTTAATAACAGGTATTGAGAAGCAATCACCGGTTTGGAAAACTAACCTATCTTTTCAGACAACAGAGGTCATTAAGAACAAGTTTTATTTATTAAAATACAACAAAACAGTGCATTTTGCAGGCTTTTCTAGGAAGCAATTATTTATACCAAAGAGTAGCTTAGCCCCTCCTGCATGCTTTTCTTTATTGTACGAAATACGTGATCTTTGTTTGAGGTTTTAGTATTTAAGTCAGCTCAGTTTGCCATTTCAGCATCACGGATGTGGTGGGGAAAGCATCTGAGTATTCTGAAGACTCCTTCCAGGTAAACCATCCATCTTGAATTTACTACTTGTGCTTACTAACCATTCCCCCCCTACAGGAATTCAGAATGATTTTGCTTCCATGTTGTACAATCAAACCATTGGTGGGCTGTCAGATGGACTGGTGTTTAAACAAAAGGTCTATTGAGTCTAGGTAGTTGGCAGTAACCCATGACAGGGCCTTTTTGTTGGAGTTTCCCAGTTTGTGGAAAGCCCTCCCTAGTGAGGTGCATGTGTCTCCCTCATTGTTGACTTTCAGGAAAAATGTAAAAAAAACATTCCAGGTTCCCCAGGCATTTGATGGCTGAAAAGCACTGTTCCTAGCAAACATGAGATCACTGATTGAGAACATTTTAAAGTATTTCCTAGGCTGGATCTACACACAGGGAAGCCCCCCGCCCTGCTACAAATAAGTTATAAATAAAATCATTATAACAAAAGAAGAAAAAAACTCTATGCAAAATGCATGGACAAAGTTTTGTGCTCTGTAGCGCCATCTAGTGCCGCATGTTTATAACACTGTAACATGGCTAATGTAGTCTTTAGAGTGTTTTAGGTGGTTTCTAGCATAAGAGCTAACTCCTAGGGGCCGAGGTCCCTTTGCCCCCCATAAAATATTAGAGCCCCCCATTCATATGGTGTGCATGCCCTGTATCATGTGACTGATTATGCGGGGTAGGGCTTACCTGCCCCCCCCAATATTTTATTCAAGTTGGCACCCATTGTTTCTAGACTGTTTTAAATTGTTTTAGAGTGTTCTAAACTGTTTTAGTTGCTGGCGTTGTTGTTTTGTTGCTGTTGTATTTTTTAATATTTTATCATTGCTGGGTCTGTCACGCTGGGCACCTTCTGGAAGGAGGGTGGGATATAAATAAAATGAATGAATGAATGAAATAAGCAGCTTAGAAATGGAATTTTAGGGTGCCCACGCTTCCACAAAAGGAACACAAAGGATGGTGGTGAGAAGGAACTGGCCTGCTGAAGCCCCTAGCAATTTATAATAATTATCCTGGAAGAAGAAGGGTATTGGAGTGTTGTTGGAATTTGTGTGTGTTTTAAAATCCCCCCCTTGCACTTTATATATGAAATGGTTCAGTATGTAAAACTGTGTGACCCCCCTGCCCCATAATTATATAATGCTCAGATTTAGAGCACGGGTGGCGCTGCGGTCTAAACCACTGAGCCTCTTGGGCTTACCTATCAGAAGGTTGGCGGGTCGAATCCCTGCAACAGGGTGAGCTCCCGTTGCCTGGTCCCAGTTCCTACCAATCTAGCAGTTCGAAAGCATGCCAAAAAGTGCAAGTAGATAAATAGGTACCTCTCCGGCGAGAAGGTAAACGGCATTTCTGTGCGCTGCTCTTGTTTCAGTGTTCCATTGCGCCAGAAGCGGCTTAGTCATGCTGGCCACATGATCCAAAAGAACCGTTTGCGGACAAACGCCGGCTCCCTTGGCCTGTAAAGCAAGATGAGCGCTGCAACTCCAGAGTTGTCTGCAACTAGACATAACTGTCAGGGGTCCTTTACCTTTCTTTTTTTTTAGCCCCTTTATATAGCACAGAAGGGGAATGTCTCAGTAAAGGAAGGGTGGGGGAGAGTCCTTTATCCCTTCTAAGATGTCCTGGAGGACTGTTCTGTATTTCAAGGACTGCTCAGCCCAAGTCCATCTTACATTTGCTCAAGGGGGAGGCACAGAATTTCTCTCCTTCGCAACCACCCTGTGAGGCAGACTAGACTGAGAAGGGTGGCCCAGTGACCTTCCATGGCTGAGCAGGAGTTACCCTGGAACATAGAAAGGCACCTTACACCAAGTCAGGCCACTGGTCCATCAAGTTCAGCACTGACTGTCTGCTCTGACTGGCAGTGGCCCTCGAGGGTTTGAGACAGGAAACATCCTCAGCCCTACACAGAGATGCAAGGGATTGAATTTGGGACTGTCTGCATGCAAGGCAGATGTTCTGGTCTTTCTTCCCCTGAGTTAGAACCATGACATCTCTGGTCTGGCATCCTGAACATCATGCTACCCTTGGTTCTTGATGGTCTGAGGCTGTTAAAGTTTAACACAGCATGAGCCCTGTGAATCAGCATAATCAACACAATCCCGGCAAAACAACATGACTGCCCTCCTCCCAACTGTGGTTTATAATATTAATTTATTTCAGTCATGTTCATTTCAGTATTTATATATATACAGTGGTACCTCGGGTTAAGTACTTAATTCATTCCGGAGGTCCAATCTTAACCTGAAACTGTTCTTAACCTGAAGCACCACTTTAGCTAATGGGGCCTCCCACTGCTGCTGCGCTGCCAGAGCACAATTTCTGTTCTCATCCTGAAGCAAAGTTCTTAACCTGAGGTAATATTTCTGGGTTAGCGGAGTCTGTAACCTGAAGTGTATGTAAGCCGAGGTACCACTGTATATATATATTTGCATCTTTTCAGACATGATTCCCATACTCCTGATCCAAGCTCTGCTCTCCAGCGCCCTCTGGAGCCCCGCGAGGACAACAGCCATCGTCAGCTTTTCTCCCTACCCTCCCTTCACAATGGAGTCACTCAGCGGTGTCGCTGAAACTGAAGACCCTAAACAAGCCTTCACTGTTCCCCCTGATCAGGACCCAGAGACCATTGTAATTGATCTGGTCACAGATGGTGGGAGTCGAGCGAGTTCCCAGATCGCCGTGACACCTGCGGCAACCTCTTTCTTTAACGGGGTGGGTGGAAGCAAGAAGAACCTTCTGGAACCAGGGGCCACCACCACAACCACCACTGCCATTGGATCCAGACAACAGGTGGCCCTGGAATTGTTCACTGCTCCAAACACAGAGCATACCTCCCCAGCTATGGGTGTTTCCAGGGAGGAAAACCGTACTACCCGCCTGGTTCCATTTTCTGCGACTAACAAAGGCCTTGCAGTTGGCGACCGCGTAGATCCTGCCTTCTCAAATGCACCAAAGGGAAACAGCACCGATACTGAGCGACGCTGCTTCTGTAAAATTCCAGGAGCCGAAGGACAAAAGAGAGACCAAGGTGAAAAAGAGAATGCGGGTAATTGTATCGCTTAATGCCTTCAGGTTGCCAAAATCTTTTTCTTTCTTTCCTTTTTTAAAAACAACAACAAAAAAACCAAAACTGAACGCCATTCATTTATTTTCTAATTAAAAACAACCGGATCAGTATCATACTGAAAATCCCCCCAAATCCAAATGCTCTGTGCAATGAAGTAAAGAGATACTCGGCGGCGGGTAAATGGACAAATTGTGTCCCTCGCGTCTCGCACACAAACTTGCCGGTGTGCAGAGCACCAAACGCCAGCAGAGCTGCCTGACCCATAACACCCATGTTCTCCTTCTCATAATCTGGTAGTATTTGGTAGCAGACCATCTGCAATTTTATAATAAGCCCCAAGACTCTGCTGAACCCATGAAGCACCTGCAATGAAGCAGCGTGACTTGGACAGATGTAACTACAGCGTGAGGTGACTGAGATAAATGAGTGGTTTTCAAACAGCCTTCTGGGAAATCCCAGGGCTCCTTGTAATCTTAGCAAGGCTTCCTCAATAAGGAACCTCAGTAACAACTGCCAAGTTCCTGTTCAGGAAAGCTTGCCCTCCACTATTGATGGTACTACAAAATGTTCAGCTGCAGCAATCTGGGGCAGTGCTGTTTTTCTAGGAAAAAGAGGTCCCGGAACTCACCACGAACACCTCCCTTGTTCGCTCAGAATGGCAATGGCGCCCACCTGAGAGGTGCCAGAACTGAGTTCCAGAGAGTTCCGGCTGCAAAAAACAAGCAAGCAAGCAAACAAACAAACAAACAAACAAACAAACAAACAAACAAACAGCCCTGGGTATATGCATAGCAGTAATGAGGCCCACCAGGAATGGCCAATGTTCTTCATGCACTTTGTATGTGTGTGCAGCCTAAAACATTTCCCAGACTCCTCTGCAACCCACAGGGTCCCCGCGGCAGACATGCAAGAGATTCTTGACTAATGTCAATGTGGGAAGAGTTCCTGGGAAGTAGAAAGTTGGAAAACTATTGGGATAAACAACAGACTAACAGACTAAAAATGACTGGTTCTGAAGATATCATGGCTTCTCAGAAGAAAAGCATTCTGGCTCTTCAGAGTCAGGCCAAGGCATCTGACTTAAGGCTCCATTTGTGCTATACATTTAAAACAGTATCTTACCACTTTAAACAATCATAACGTTCCCCCCCCCAAAGAATCCTGGGAACTGTAGTTTATTAAGGATGCTAAGAGAGGTTAAGAAGCCCTGATTCCCCTCAGAGCTCCAGTTCCCAGAGTTCCCTGGGAAGAACCATTGCTTGTTATACCACTCTGAGAAACAAAGCTCTGTGAGTGGAAGAGAATAGGGGTCTCCCAAGAACTCTCAACATCCTTAACAAACTACACTCCCCAGGATTCAGGGAGTTCTTTAAAGTGACAAGACACTATTTTAAATGTATTGTACAGATGGGACCTGAGTCAGACCATTGGTCCATCCACCTCAGTAGGCTCTGCAGGGTTTTGAACCAAGAGTGTTTCCTAGCGCTACCTAGAGACACTGGGGATTGAAACTGGGACCTTGTGTGTGCATGCAATGCATGAGTTTTTCCACTGAGCTACAGCCCAGCTGGTAAAGCATGGTGGGGGTTTAAGCTTCCCACATGTAGCTTAAAGCAGCTCTTTGATCTACACTGGGCAGAATGTTCATGAGGCTTGCAAATGCTTTTTTTTTTTTTTGCTTCTGCAGGAATGCTATGAACTGTGGCTGTGGTGTTTATTGATTAATCCACCAGACTAATTGCTTTAAAAACTTTTGATATATTATTAAACCAGCACACCTTTTTGGAAATGCTTATAAAACTGCAGACTGCATTCTTCATTTAAACAAATCCCCTTCCCTTCCCTAGGGAAGACTGCATCTTTTAAGATGATTTCTGTTGTGATACAAAATCAGAACTATTGGTTAGACCCATATGTAAGTGTAGGCACATTTAACCTAACGATGAATCGATTAAAATGTTCTTAATTGTATTGCATCCCTACCATTAACACAAACAGCACAAGATATATTCAAAGGTGGTTTCAGCCTCATGTGAAAATGCCAGGGGATTCATGTCCTGGCATTAACCATTATGTTTCAGAAGTGTTGGCGGTGCTCAGTTCAGTGTGGAATATGAATGTGTTCAGCACCTCCTGTGCAGTAATTGAGAAAAGCACAATCCTTTCTAGAGGGGTGCATAATTCACCACACGGAGCTGTAATGGCTCATTTGGAGACACACCAGAGTATCATATAAATGAGTACATTTTAATGATTCTTTAAATATGACCTCAGGGACTCCTATGGTTACAGTCATTGACCCAAAGTATGATGATAGTTACCATGATGCTCATACCATCTTTTCATGCATACATTTAACTGTAAAATTTGAAGCTGTTTCTTGGACCTTTTGGGTGTTAGATTTAAGCACCCACCACAAAGCAATATGTAAGGGTTACTCATAGGCTGGTGAAGGTAGAACACATTGGGCAGAAGTTGTTCAGTTAAGGGCTGGGTTATGGCATTTCAGTTATATAGCAATGTAGCAGTACAGTACTATTTGTTGTTGCTCCTCCTCAAATAGTGTCAGTGTAGATCAAAGAACTGCATTTTGCTGCATTGGCTGCAGGTACAGGACCAACCCGACTGGGAGGTCTATAGTAATAGATTTTGTAGTCTGTTTCTTGCCCCCATGGAAGACAGACAGCAGGGACGCGGACTTATAAAAAATATTGGGGGGGCCCGGGAAAGCTCATGAATAATAAATAAGCTCATGAATATGCAAATAAAGTGGCTCCGGCCCTAAATAGGGCAAGCCACGCCCCCCCAGCCAGCCGATTGGCTGGCTGGGAGGTGTGGCCAGTCGGGATTCCCCTGTTCTCGCGGGGGCTGAAACCGCCAGGAGGAAGGAAATTCCCCCCGGCAGTGCCTTGGCAGTGGCGGTGGTGCTGCGAAGCAGCGAGGCAGGAGCCCCCGCCCCCGGCGCCCGAGATTATTGGGGGGGCTGAGCCCCCCCAAAAATTTTTTTGAGGGGGCTCGAGCCCCCTCAAGCCCCATGGAGTCGGCGCCTATGACAGACAGTTGCCTTGCACCATGAAAGACCATTTGTCCATCAAGCCCAGATCTGTCTACTGTGAAGTGGCAATAGCTTCACAGGGTCTCATGCAGCGACATTCCCCAGAATTTTTAAAGGAAAGATGCAAGGATTGAGTCTGAGACCTTCTGTATACAAAGCACTTCCAGTGAAGTGCCCCCTCCCCTATCGCTGCATGTTTTACAGAGGAGAAACTGGAACATGAGGACCTGCAGTGATGCTAGTTGAGATTCGTTTGGTCCTGTGTGTGTGTAAGCATGTTACTGTTTATACTTGAGCTTAGTACAATTTTGCTATATGTTTTGATTGGGAATTTTTCTCAGTTTATATGACAGTGGATAAAGATCTGCTCCTGTTTCGTTCCAGATGTGCTGAGACTTGCTAGGAGAAGAGGAGAACTGCGGTCTTTGGTAGACGTCGGACAAGGCAGAACAGCGCAAAGGGGGGATTCCAGATCCAGGGCTGCTGTAGGTAGACCAGTGTCCCCTCATCAGGCAGAACAATATGGTGGCTCTACCGATTTTTCTTTTCCAAGAGGTGACAAAGGTGAGGTTGGGAGCCCTGGCCCCATAGGAATTCCGGGGCCAAAGGGAGACACAGGGGAACGTGGAGAACCAGGCCCAAAAGGTGACACTGGACAGAAAGGTGACCCTGGGGAGAAAGGAGAAAGAGGCATAGCAGGTGAGAAGGGGGAGATAGGACCAGGAGGGCCACCAGGAATTCAAGGAGCTCCTGGTTTAAAAGGAGATGCAGGGATGCAGGGAACAGTTGGTGCCCCTGGGAGAGAAGGGCTAACTGGACTTCCAGGCCGAAGAGGCGAAAAGGGCCAGAAGGGGGACTGCAGATCGGTTGAACCTGTAGCCTTTTCAGCTGGCCTTCAGAAAAGGAGAAGCTTCCCATTGCCAGGATCCCCAGTGAGATTTGAAAAGGTTTTCCTGAATGAAAATGAAGCATATCATGAGGAATCGGGCATATTTACTGCCAACACTGGAGGAGTCTATTCTTTCAGTTATCACCTGAGTGTCTCTGGCAAGGCGCTGAGGGCGGCACTCTTCCACAACGGTGAAAGACTTATGCAGGTGTCAAGCGTAAGGCAGCCTCCACAGAGCGTTTCCCAGGTCTCTGGATCGATGCTGGTTCACCTCTCTGAAGATGATGAGATTTGGCTTCAGGTTTTGAATGGCTCTCAAAACGGGCTGGTGGCTGATGAAACCACTGATTCTGTATTTTCAGGGTTTCTGTTATACCCTGATTAATGAAATTTAACATTATTACATATAGGGTTGGGAATAAGCATCCCACACATGACAGCTTTGTGTCTTGGATCACATAGCATACCTAATATTTTCACATTTTTCTCAATTTCACAGTTTCAGTTTTATTGCTAGCGTACTAAGCTGTAGAACAGCGGTGGCCAGTTCTTCCAGCTTTACCATTAGATTAGCACGTGCAGAACTTTCTAGAGGCCTAAAACCAGAAACTCTAATAGACTTGTGAGATTTTACACTAGATTTCTAGCTCTCATGATATTTGATTAAACTGTTCCCTAAAGGGTGACTTTAAGGTTAAACTTCTTCATTCTTGCTTTGACAGTGGCTTATTGTCAGTTCTAAAATTACTGTGTTTTATTTTGTTATTTTTATTATTATTATGAAGCAGCATTTCATCAATGAGAGTCAGTGTGTTATCATTGTTAATTGCTTGGATTAGACCTAGGGACCGCCACTCTTAATTACTGGCTGAGACTAGCCTTCCTTCCGAGCGGCCTTGCTTCCTTGACCATTAAAGACGATTTCCAAACAACATGGAAACAAGCAGTGGAAAATATAATAACAATTTTAGGATTTAATCCACAGATCTTACTTGACATGGGGTATGAACAAGCAAAAAACAACACTAAACAGCGAGTGGTAGATACTAAACGACAGGTTGACCTAGCCAGGTCCCAAAATTTCTAATTAGTGAAACTAGAAGATACGTGACTTCCCAAATGCCATACATAGCTAATCTCAAAATACCAAAACAGCAAAGGGCTTTCGCCTTGGCCCGTTCTCAGGCCCCGCCTTCAGCAATTCAGGAAGGCCGTTATAGGTAGAAACCTTACGAGGAGAGGAAATGCCCCTGTGGCTCTGGGCAGCAGGAAACAACAGAGCATGCCCTTCTTCACTGCCAGTATTATATAGAGATCGAGCCAGGTTTATCCAGCCCATCCTATATAATTCCCAGGGCGTTCAGAACAAGACAACATCTCCCTATTACTACAGGACGGAAGCCCAGAAGTCACATATTTAGTCGCCAGATCCTGCGCTGCCATGATAGATACTCGTCGAAGGAAGGTCTATGCTACAAATCAGTCCCAAAATGAAGCCCCATATTGTTAGATCTGTATCATTGAAGCCCCACCCCATATAGCTGTTTTAACTGGTCTTTTTTCATTCTTCTTATAAGTTTTTATTCACCCATTTTTAATGCTTAATCAAATATTCTATGTATATGTTTTAATCTATGGTTGGTTCTTGCTCCCATTTATTTAATAATTATTCACTTGGATTCATACTGTTATGCTATTTATTTAGATGTTTTGCTTATGCTGGCCTGTGACCAAATAAAGTAAAATCATTCATAGAGCTGGGGAGACCCAGGTTGAAATCCTCACTCGAGGATGAAGTCCACGTGAAGATTTTAGATCTGTCACCATCTCAGAATTCACTAATGTGGTACCCATGGGTGCCTCGGTGAGCAAGTGCTGTGGCCACTGATGTAGTTGCCATTTTCCCATTGATGGGTATGGCAGATGGGGGAGCATGGCTGCACATTTTTGTGGCCCTGTCTCCTTTCCTGCTCTTTAATATGTGGCAGCCATTTTGTGTCATGCTACACGCCCCATGGCAGCCATTTTGTGATTGGTGTTCAGGGCACTTTCTCAAAATTCTAAACGTGCCCACAGGCCTCAAAACTGTTGGCACCCCCTCTTGCACACACCTGCCTGGGAGTAAACCCCACTGAATGCAATGTGGCTTAAGTCTGAATAGAAATGCATAGGATTGCATTGCAAGATTGAAGATCCCACCCTGTCCTGAATTACTGAACATTTACACCCTTCCATTTATATCTTCTTATGAAGCTGCCTTATAGAGAGCCAGACCATTGGTCCACATAGCTCAGGATTGTCCACAGTGACTCTCAAGTGGTTCTCAAAGGAGTTTTCCTCAGCCCTACCTGGAGGTATTTATCTGTCATTGTTCATTTGTGATGGTCGTGGAGAGTGACTCTTCCTTTTTGGTAACTGATTCCTTTCTTTAGGAAATAAAATTTTAGTGAAGCGTCATGACTTTGCCCCTTTTTATCAGAACTGCAGTGTCTTGTCGTACCTTTGTGCAAAATGATTTACTTATTTTGTGTTATGTGGATGGTTTGATCTATATAAGTTGATGGCTTAAAAATAATAAACTGGAATTCTGAGCATGGGCTGTTTCAGCTGTTGACTCCTGAGTTTACTTTGCTCTAGACTCGTTGAATACGTGTTTCAGTTCTTTGTCATGCAGTGATATTCCCCAGAGCTGCCATCTTCTTCATGGATCCCACATTACACAGCTCCTCCAACTAGTCAAAAACTGCTGATGTTCTAACAGAGACACCTGGAATGATGACTCCAAAAGCTTCTGCGGGGATCCTTGTGTTTCTTGCACTGCTCCTATAGACCAATTAATTCCTTACCTGGCCTGGAAAGCATAAATTGACCCACTGAAAGATAGTTTGTGGCCGAGTGGGAGGGTGAGGCCATTCCTAGCTTCCCTTTCCTGTTCTCAGCTGACTTTCACAGAGCTCTTTCTTGGGTCTCTGCTTTCTCAAGTCCCACCTCTCTTATTCCCCTTTTCTTAGTCTGCTGCCCCTGTCTTCAGTCCCTTGCTGATTCCACACTCTCTGCCCTTATCTCCAGCTTCAGGTAGTTAATGTAGTGCCCTCCAGATCATTATCATAGAGTTGGAAGAGACCCTGAGGATCATCTAGTCCAACCCCCTGCTATGCAGGAATATGCAGATAACCCTTACGCGGATCACGCCTGCAACCTTGGCGTTATCTGCATCGTTCTCTAATCAACTGAGCTATCCAGCTGTTTAGGACTACAGTTTTCATCATTCCCGGCCATTGGCCATGTTGCCTGGGGCTGATGGTGACGTGAATTCTACTCATATTGATTCAGAGCAGATTCCAACGTATAGTCAGCAGAGTAAAAACTTAAACACGTTGCAGGATTCCTGAAAATAGACCAGAGGCAATTAATATTTCATCCAGCAGAGCTTTACTGAAGGCAAATGAACATAATGGTCACAAATCCAATACATTCAGGATTGGCACTGTCCATAAGAAATCCAGTTGCAGCAGACTTAATTTAAACTTACAATGACTTATAATAAGACTAAAACTTTAACACTAAGCATACTATATACAGAACATCACGCCAGAAGGAAAGAGAGATAGAAAGGAAAACCCACGCTCCTTCTGGCTTTAATATTATAGTCAGCATGACCTTGACAGAAAGAGATAACAGAACCAGTTTAAGCCAGCTGTACTCAGCTTCTCTGAAGGAATAACCCAAACATTATGAACCTTCTGCTTATTTCTAGGCAGAATAGAAACTTACATGTCACCCAGAAACTTCCAGCTTGCACCAGTTTCTTTCACACAGAGAAGCTTCCAGAAACCTCTTGAATTAATTAGAATAGGAATAGCTCTCTACACATCAGATCAATGGAAGTTAAAGTCTAACCACATCTGGAGGGCTGCACATGGAAGGAATATGATCTGAACTAATTGCTTGAAGATGACTTTTCATATTGGGCCTCGTGCAGCCCAAGGACCCCAGATTGCCCAGCCTGATGCATAGGATTGCTTTGACGATTCTTTGTAGTTAATAGGTTTGCCCCCTGCAAAGTGTGTCATAGATTTAGAACTATATAGTTGGGAGGGACCCAAAGAATCATCTAGTCCAAACTCCTGCAATGCAGGAATCATGGTCAAGTGATTTCAATGTTACCTTTCAGTTTAAAAAGGCTCCCAGAGTAGGTCACAATGCACAAATCATAATTCTATCAATAAAATAATAAAAAATGAGACAACAAATCCTAATAACTTTTTTTTTTTAAAAAAAGCCAGATTCAATGATTCCTTCAGCAGTCTTTTCAGGCAGCTTTAATTAAGATCAAGGGAGCAGAAGCATTTTGAGTATTGCAGGCAAAAGTAAGTTGTTTGAAAAAGGAGAGATGAATGTGATACTGTCCCGAACTTTCTTACTTTAAATGAAAAAAAAAAAGGAGGGGAAAAAAGAAACATATCAGCAGCTTGATCTACTATTTAAAACAGATTGCACTTCATCGCTTTCCAGGGCTGGACATAATTATAGACATCCCCTTCTTTTAGATATTCACACCATAAAGCAATTCAGATAAACGGTATTGTTTAGAAAAATGATGCCAGCCAAGGAATGGATGAGGAATGAAATCGAGATGTTGTTCTTAAAAGCGGTGGGTAACTTTGCTGATGCACAAGTAAAATTTAAACTTTTTGATTCAAAGTGTGTGTGCATCATAATTAAGATGCAATTGATTGAACCCAAGCAAGCAATTTCCTTCCAAATTGCAAGTGCAAATTGCCCTTTTGTAACAACATTGCAGTTTTTGCGTCTGTTATTATATTTCATTTTCTTTCCAATTTTTGGATGCAAAGCTATTAGGGAAAAAAAAAAAAAGATTCACCACCCCTCTCGTAATGCAGTAGATTTATCACCCTGAACAATAAATGAAAGGCAATATGCACTTTATTGGTTTCATACTGTTTATTGCTACTTACAATAGAGTGTAATTAGAAACATTTTAAACTCCATAGCCATTAAAGGGAGATTCTTGCCCATGCATCACCAGCAGTTCATTGTGGCAGGAGCTTAGACTTTGTCCTAAAAGCTGGTTGTGCAAACATTACCTACCAGCTAGGTCCTCCTTTTTCTGAATTCAGATTGAAGCTAGTTTTTTTTTTTGGGGGGGGGGAATGTAACAAAAATGCAGTATTCCACAAGAAATGACAGGATAGTTATGGATTGTAGCTAATGCCTTGTGTACACTATTTCCCAAACCAGTGGTGGGAGCATGCTGGATGCAGAGTAGATGGGCATACACAGCCTCATAATATTTAGCCATGCTCAGCTTCTGGAAGTCCTAAATAGGAAGTTTTAAAAACAAACAAACAAATGGTTTAGC